AGACAGGGAAAGCTTTTGTGAAATCTTGCTAAGACATTCGTTTTTGTGAAATAAAGTTACTATTTGTTCACTATATCTTAAAAAAAGTAAAACTTAACCTTTTTTTTTTTATTGGAGATCAAGGTATGCATGAAGCCCTGCAAACGATTTCATCGGAGGAGACTGCGTCCATGCAACAAAAAATACACGTGTGATAAAATATATTGTTCTACAAAAACCTTTATTTCACAAAACAAAAAAGCAAGTTCTTCACACTCTTAGCATAGACGGGACAAGAAGACTGCGCATAGCAGCATTTCATGACTCTATTTCGAAAAATATAACTATGGTATGAATATAGGTAAACTAAATGTAATAAAAGCGAACCAAATTTTTAAACAAAATGTTTCTTTGAACGCTCTTTCTCTCCTCAAGCAGTAAAATTGATTGTTCTGCAAATAAAAATTGGGGGTCCCCCCCCCCCCCTCTTTCTCCCACGCACATCCCAAACAATACATTGGAGGCGCTAGAAGAGTTTCATAAATAAGCGAACTATAACTTTAAAATTGAAACAATTTTATAGTAGACTGCATTTGCTGTCGAATAATGGCGAAAAAATAGCGAATTATCGCAGAGGGTGTCGATTCCGGACATTAGTAACGATTTGTTTCAGGAACAAAAATAAATAATCCTGCGCTGCTACCAGCGGGCATACGGGAATCAAAATTAGATATTCGCAAATTCTCAATGAACCACTTTGTAACGTCTTGAGCTGCAGAGGACTTCATATCAACAATAGTAATATGAATTGTAATATCTGCAGAGCACCAATATATATATATATATATATATATATATATATATATATGTTAAACAAAATGTTTCTTTGAACGCTCTTTCTCTCCTCAAGCAGTAAAATTGATTGTTCTGCAAATAAAAATTGGGGGTTCCCCCCCCCTCTTTCCCCCACGCACATCCCAAACAATATACATATATATATATATATATATATATATATATATATATAATTTGGAAATCCGAAACTAAAATTATGGTGCTCCCTATTATGCCTCTACAAAACGATTAGAATGTATATATACATATATATATATATATAAATATATTTCGGAGGAGTGTCAAGGCAAGATTCATCACACCAAATAAGTTTAGTTAACCGAGGCTCAACGCAATTCCCGCTAATCAGTAGTGCTAAATTTACATTAAATGTACAGCGAGTGTCATATCTTTTGTATCGACACATTTCACTCTCAACACACAGCTTCTAGCGATGCAAATATGACAAAATTACTCATATTTCCAGTTTTGATAAACATAAGGAGACTTGCAAGCAAACCGAAAGCTGGAGAGTATACTTAAAATCATTAGCAAAGTCAGAGATCGATACATTTGGATCAACATAAATTACGTCTTTATTGTCTTTAACTCTGTGATGTTCCATTTGACTTTTTTTCGCTTTCGGTCTAGATTTGTTTGCTGTGATGCAAAGCGTATTAACGAGAAACTGGCTGAAACAATCGTTGCAAAATGGTGGCTTCGAGCAAAGGAAACGGTGGCCTCGATGAAGGCAATACTCGTGATCTTCCGTCTGGGAAGGCTGCTATTAGCACTGCTGCCTAATCAATATCGCGGGTGAACGGGGGCCGCCTTGGGACTTCTCTGAAGGCGGGATGCACCCGATTGGGACGGGAGCCAGGACGCAGATAAGTACAAAACAACATCGGGATCCTTGAAAAAAACAAAAGCGCACACGGGCACTGTGAGACGCCGGCACCACTTGCTTTTTCTCTGGTGATGCCGAGTGAAAAACATCGTTGTGCAGTCCGAAGACATACCATTCCGTACCCCTTCTCTCCCTTTTGCCGACGTCGTTTCAAGAGTAAGGTTCGTCCCCATCTGGCTGCAAATGGAACCGCGTAGACTCCCTGTCCGATGATGCAATCGATAACGTGCCTTCCGCCTGCGAGCGAACCGATGATCGATCGGAGAGTTGGTGCAGCCTCACTTTCTACACGACGCTGACAATGATCGGCGTGTTGCTGCTCCTGCCTTAACGGTGGGCCCGTATACCGTGTCCGGCGGGATGAAGTGGATCGGAAACCGATAGGTCGAGCGATTACGGCTTCGCTGACCGCTTCCTCGATGCTCACGCTTTCTGCCACCGGTTTTGTTATTACCCGGGGGTGCGATATTACTCGATTTGAAGCTCCGCAACAGGGATGCGCCCTGCTGTTATGTGCGAAGAATTTCGAGGACCCGAAAAACGGCATGTTCCTTCGATATATATACATATATATATGAGGGTGTCGAACCGGAACCGAACCGAAAACCGGAACCGAACCGCTATTTTTTCCGGAACTGAACCCGAACCCGAACCGTTATATTGTTATCGCGATGAACCCGAACCGGAACTGAACCGGAAAAAAAATAACGGTTACCGGCCTATGTCAAAACGGTTCGGCCACGCGCTGTTGACAATGAATGTGCTATCAATGCCATTTGTTTTTAAGCGCCGTCAACTGACACACACCTCGCTTACATATTTTTCTTCTCCACTCAGTCTTAGCAATATAAACGCTGCATCCATGAATCTTGACAAACGCTGCATCCATGAATCTTGAAATAGGAACCAGTATTGCGCTGGTCGCGGCTTGCACGGAAAAAAGAGAATTGTAAGGCTGTGCAAAAAAAAAAATCGCGTCACGGGATGTCATTTTCTTACAATCTCATAAATCCTAAATGCTGCTGTGTGCTCATTTCATTACACGTTTCTAGAACGCGCGAATTCTTGAAGCTTGCTTCCATCGGAATGAGAAAAGAAAAGGCTGTGGAGTTTGATAATGTTTGAGGGAGAGAAAGAAATTTTATTTACAGTTGAAATCAGCATTCATAAATTATATCTGCTCTTCGCTGCCCCAACCACCGGTCAGAGTATATCGAGCTATGAAGTGTCAAGAATTACATGCCGCATTTTTTCGTACCGGAAACTCGATAAATGCGGGGAAAAAAAAAAGAGGGATACAAACCCCAGTCGCTCGCGGAGAACCGAAGCTGCGCGCACTTTCGAATTCGACAAAGGATCTGCCGAGCTTCTGTTGCTTCCGTCGCCTGCCCAGCGTAGTCATGGGACACAAGCGGGCGCGTGCGCTCAAACCAGCGCTCAGCACACGCTGGAGTTAGCGCCCGTGACAGACAGCCCTGTAATGAGACAGTCGTTGTTTGCCGCTTGCATTGGCTACAGGCTTTTATAAACGTTATGCACTACTAGTTTCGACTACTTTTCATTTGTTTTCATCGGTGTCCGTATTATACATGAATAAACGCGCGAGAGCGAATCGAATTCTACGTACGTTTGCCGTAACCCGTACACTTTTGGGGTGTGCACCCTCCTCTTTTTTTTTTCTCTCACAAACACGCCGTTTGTCTGTACTTATTTCGCGCTGGCTTTCCGACTCCCTGCGCCCGACACCGCTCGTCCCCGGGAATACGGCGCCTTGCAGTCCCGCCGCACTGGAGCCGAGGCAGAGAGAGGGTTGCCTACGGGCAGAAGCACAGGCGCTTGTAGCGCTTTAGAGGCCAGCTTCCGTGCGCCCACTCCGGTAGAGCCAGGCTGACAACGAGTGTGCTGCCCCAACCCGAGGTAAGTCAAGGTGTTCCATTTTGGTTTCTTGAACGGCGTTTTCTTCTTGAACTCCACATTCACGCGTGCAAATGCTAAAATATGGTAGTTATTGCCTTTGTGAAATCGTTTAAAGTTATGTAACGGCTTTGTGATGCAGTCTAGAGAAAGGTGGCGAATTCAATTCCTTCGTTTTTTTAAGGATTCTGCGTTCATGTCCATTTATAGGGAAGATTCATTTCGATATTTGAAGGTATGTGGCCATTGAGAAAGCAGCGTATAGTGGATAAACACCATCATCCGAACGCAGGGGCTGCCAGCCCTGTTTCCTTGTCTATACATAATGGACCGCGATGTAAGTCCAAGTTGTTCAAGGGAACCGAAACTTCGATGAGCATTCGATGGCTTACAACAGCTACCAATGAACTACTAGCGATTCAAGAGGCACAAAGGTTTATCATGATAATTTGGCTTCAGAGTGGTTGCTGTCATGCAGAATAGGCAGTTTAATTTTCCTTAGTACTTCACGCCGTTGACAAGGGAAAAAGGATCGCCGCCGTTCACTACATTTCTCGTCCAGTGTAATTTTCGCTGATCTCAAAGAAAAATGTAAATTCTCCCGTGTTTACGTTTTGGGACCGATGGAAATTTGGGACGTTTTGGGACCGCGGCACAGCTCAATGAGGTCGGTTATTACCCCATGTAGGAGTTTATCCAGAATAGTTTTCGGAAAGCATTTGTAGCTATTGAGAGCCAGTACATGTTTCAAGTATAGAGCTTGCAAATAGGATCATAAATTTACCAGAATAATTTTCATATTACAGCACACAGCGGCATGGGCGAAAGAAGAAAAAACACAGCTAGGAAGTACTTCTCGTATGATGATGTAACCGAGATGTCAAAATGCGGTGTTGGAAGTTGTTCTGCGCAAATTAAGAGCAACCATGCAGCTAATCTCCAACGACACCTGCAGAGGTATCATTACGAGATCTACAGGAAGGTCTTTGCGGACTCCTCCATGGCCCCTACAGGTGCAGAAGCAAGCTCAGCAAAACGACCACGTTCATCTGGGCAACAGAAGCTCACTGCTATGCTACCAGCTGGCACGGCTGGAGTGTCGATAAGTGATCAAATAATTGTTAGCGCTTGTGTAGAGCTGTGCACTGTGAATGGCAGACCGTTTGCGCTGATGGAAGACTCCGGTTTCCGAAAAATTCTTTATCCTCTGCTCGATGGTCTTAGCACAAAGACTGTCATAAACGCCGAAAACATTCGGACAAGAGTAGCTCTTTTGGCCGATGAAATGCGCGAAGAAATCCGGCAGCAAGTGAAGGGAAGACTGATATCGCTTAAAGTTGATTATGTCACCAGTATGGACAGATGAATGCTTAGTGTCAACTTGCAGTTCGTTTCCGATGGAAAAATTCTCCTCCGGACGCTCGCGATCAAAGAATTAAAGGAGGGGCACACAGCTAGCTATTTGCAAAGTATCCTGCTTGAGGTACTGGCGGCGCACAATGTCGAGCTATGCCAAGTGTACAGCATCACTACAGACAACGGCACAAACCTAGTGAAGTCAGTCAAGTCGCTCATGGAAGATCAGCAGCAGCAGTCGGGAAGTGATGACGAAGGGGAGGTCACTGGGGATCAGAACGCTGAGCTGCAGTTGACAAGTGATGACCCGTTCTACGACACGAGACCGTGGCCTGGTGTACTGAGGGGAGTACGATGCGCAGCGCATAACTTGCAGCTAGCAGTTGACGACGCGATGAAGAAGGCCTCCGTCAAGGCCACTGTTGCGAAAGCAAGAGAAGTTTGTGAGAAACTTCGGTGCCCAAATGTAATGATGATGATAAAAAAACTAAACTTAAGGAAGCCCATCCTGAACTGCCCAACTCGCTGGCACTCCACCCATGATATGTTGGAACGTTTGCTCGAACTTCGGGGGTTTTGTGTGGAGGTGTCTGCCACAAATCGTGACTTGTTCCTTGCCGGTGACGAATGGAGTAGAATAGAGGACATTGTACGAGCTCTCCACCCGGCAAACAAGACAACGCTCACCCTGCAGTCACAACAGTCGACAGTCGGTGATTTCTACGGCGCTTGGATGAAATGCGTTATAGACACAAAGAAAGTGGATTCCACATTTACACGCTCTGTTGTTGATGCACTCAAGGCAAGGGAGACTTTGCTTCTTCAGAATGACGCGTTCAAGGCGGCGGTCTTCCTTGATCCGAGGTACGACATTCTGCTGTCTGAAGGCGACAAGCAACAAGCACGCGCTCACTTGAGCAACACGTGGGCCAACATTGTACGCTTCAGCCGTGACGCCAACGACTGCCGAGAATGTCCGACATCCTCTCTAGGCAGTGATGATGAACTAGACGCTCTGCTGAAGGAAAAGGAAAAATCATAAGAGTCTGAAAATTACGAAAAAAGAAGGGCACTGAAGTCGATAGCGGCAGCATTGAGCGACTTCGAAACAGAAAAGAGACTAAAGAAGGATGAAAACGTCCTTGCCTATTGGGAGACGCAACGACTGGAACGCCCCGAGCTTCATGAACTCGCTAAAGCTGTGCTGGCGTGCCCAGCAACTCAAGTGAGCGTAGAGAGGACTTTTTCTAGCTTAAAGTTCATACTTTCTTCTCAACGCGTTAACTTGTCAGAGAATACTCTTGACAATATTTTGCTGATGGGTGCTAACTGGGGAGAAAAAAGTAAAAGAGCAACAGTTCTGCTTCTACATTTTTGTTGAATAATGTAACAACACAAAAACTGTTTTGTTTTGTCGTCGTTTTTTTAGGTTTGTGTTTCTGGGAGTGGTACAATACCTCATATGTGCATTCAGGATGTTTTCTTCTATTTTTGTAAATGGCAGCTGAGTATAATGCTTCCAGATGCTTATTCAACCGTGTTCTGTCCGCCGGGTCGTGCAGTGCAGCCTATTTGTGCCGTAGAGTGACGGGTTGGAGGTTTGTATTCATCGTCACACAATTTCCTTGCTGTGTGAGTACTTTTTTCGAAAGTGCCAATTTTATATGGCTGCACAATAACACTGCTAAAATCTCCTATTGTTTGACGGTAAAGTTTTCTTAACACAATTAGCGCCGTCACCACGGGGTCTGCAGCAGCCCTCTTAAGCTACATTGTAATAATTGTGATAATCCACGACTGATGATGTTACACCTGATCCTGCGGGCCGTTTTGGTAACCAAGTTGAAACTGTATAATTATATGTAATGGTGGATTTCTTTAAAGCTCGGTAGCACTGTAACCAACTTAATACCAAGTTTGGTTTTTATCAATATTGCGTTATTGTTGTTATTGTATAACTAATGTTTTCCCCGTCAGATGTACGTTGTCCATAACGGATTTAAAGGGATATTTCATTCTGATATGATCCTTTCGTGGTTAACGATTTGAATGAATAAATACACAACTTCGTTTCAAACTTCCGTTTCTGCGGTAATCTTTCCAGGAGACCGTTTGTTTTGTACCGTTTTCGGTGTGCTCTCCGGAATTTGGGATTTATTCTCCTGCGCATTCCTTGCGTTTCTAATTTTAAGACTTTGCCTAAACTGCAACTTTTTGCGCAGTAGAGAACAAAAGCGGGAAATGGAAAATTTCCCGGGTCGTCCTACGCTTTGTGGTATCCTTAACCTTTTTGTTGTTGCAGACTAGTGCTTACTTTGATTGCTGCAGAAACTGTTGAAAGGGCCACGAAAACAAAAACAAGCTGGTATTTGAAAAAACCGGCTTTATTCCAATAACAATGATACCAATTTCAACGCCACTTAAATACAATTATGTATTTATTTTTGAAAAAAGATCAATCAGTGGCAAGTTCTTTTTTTTGCGAGAGAATAACCTACGTCATAAAGCAGCTACTCATAGTAACCACGTGGTCACTGGAGCAGAAGTGGTTGCCTTCTCCCGCATCCCTTTGGGCGTCCAGGTAATATAGTGTGCGGTGTAGTTAGTTTTGTGCGAGTGGCGGCCGCTGACGAAAGCCAGCACCACGATGCATCCGGTTTCGTATAGGCACTTAGAAGCTAATATATTTGTGAGACAGCGAACTCTTCTTTTTGAATATTTATCCTATTGCGTCCTTCTGGCGTTGCGTTCGGTGAAGTGTTTTTCATATTCCGTATCTTGTTTAATGAAAACTTCTTTAAGGGTCTACTTTGAGTTACCGAAGGCTAGTTCAAATAAAGAAAGCTGTATTTTCTCCCCACTGTTCCTTCAATTGCTTACACGCCGAGGTGGCGGGATAGTTAGCGAGTTCTACTTGTAAGTGGGTTTGTAAGGAGGTCGCGGATTCTACAGCTACTGCGTCGGACCCAATTACATGAAGTCCAAATGCTTAAACGTCGGTGAGGTAACCTTTGAGTAAACATAAAGAAACCATTCCTGGTAGAAATTCCTGAGCCTTACACTACGATGTATCCCGTTTCGTATGTGCTGATTTCAGATGTTTTATTTGTAACTTATTTTGATGTTGCAATTTGTCATTTATAATTTCCGAACCGGTTCGCGAACCGGTTCAGCGCCCCGAACCGGTTCACGAACCGGTTCGCGGATCGAATTAATGGAACCTGAACTGAACCGGAACCAAATACATTTACCTGAACCGTAACCGAACCCGTATTTTTTTCGGTTCGACACACTGGTACATATATATATATAAGTGGTGAAGATCTACAAATGCTTCCTTTGCTATATATGCAAAAATAAGGTCAGCAGAAGCAGCAGCCGTGGGAAGGTAAACACAAAATATATAATCGAATGGCGAATTAAGAAACAAGGCAGACACAAATAAAGAGTAGAGCGCCAAAAAAATGTTGTTTTAGTTTACAAGAAGGACAATCAAAGCTAATCACACGACCCCTATATACGCGGAGAATACACTTAAAAATAACAAAATAATAACCATGCTGAGTTAACCTGAGACTGGGGTAGAGAAGAAGCATCAAAAAAGTAGAAGAGACAGAGAACAAACAGGACGACGTATTGAGACGTCGTCCTGTCTATTTTCTGTCTCTTTTACGTTTTTGATGTTTCTTTTCTACCCCAGTCTCAGGTTAATTCAACATGGTTAATATTCACCAGCTCGCCTGCACCTTTACGATTTTTTCTATGAACAAAATAATAGTCCAAGTGAAGCACCAGATTTTACAAAATACGACGAAGCGTACAAGAGTATTAGTGCGTAGCTCTTGAGGAGGAGGAGGGAACGGTACTGAAGGTGGGGGTCATGTGACCTCGGGGGGCGGGGGGGGGGGGAGTCACCTGATCGCCCCCCCCCCCTCCCCGAGGTCACCGAAGGACCCGAGGTGCTCACGCGGGTCTCGGGGGGGGGGGGAGGGGGGGGGAGGGGCTCGCGGTTACGCCGACGCCGACGCCGCTCAGCCCGGAAACGGGTGCCTAAAAGCTGGGCGCTAAAAGTAACCGCAATTTACTCGTAAGAATATCAAACCTAGCGATAGACTGCTTTGCTGCACATATGTTTTGACCTACCACAATAGGGTGCTGTGCACGCCGGCTCGCGACTTCATGAAAATGTCACGTTACCAAAGCACTTTCAAAATGGCCGTCCCCTTTTTTGCATGCACTGGAGAGGAGCAGCGTTCGGTTACCCGATTTTTGGGTGCAGAAGGCGACAAACCTGCGGATATTCATCGCAAAACTCTGAACCATTATCGAGATGCCTGTGTATCGCGTCGGCAGGTGTACGAGCGACACGAAAAGATTCCAAGTGGAGCGTCCAGTTTGACGGACGCCCCTCGCTCCGTCCGGGCTCACACTTCAACGACGCCGGACTTAATCTCTGCTGTGGAACGGCTCATACACGGGAACCGGCGTGTCACCATCGATAAAGTGGCAGAAGAATTGAATATTAGTCACGGATCGGCCCACCATATCATTCATTGTATTCTGCATTACAACAAACTATCCGCCGGGTGGGTACCAAGACAGCTTACGCCGGACCTTAAGGAGCGGCGTATGGATGCTTGTGAGGTGCTACTGCGACGCTACGAAGCCGTGGGAGGTGATTTTCTTCCACTCATTGCCATCGGTGATTAATGCTGGGTACACTACGTCCAGCCAGAGACAAGGCGAGCAAGCAAGGAGTGGCGACACACAACGTCCCCAAGGCCGAAGAAGATCAAGACAGTGCCAACGGTGGGCAAGCTAATGCTCACGTTTTTTTGGGACCATAAAGGCCCTAATAGTTGAACATTACATGCCCAAGGGACTTACTGTAAACCGTGCATCATACTGCAACCTTCTTGAGAACCACTTGAAGCTTGCAACCAGGTCAAAGAATCACGGATTGCTCAGCTCGGGGGTGTTGCTGCAGCACGACAATCGGCGCCTTCACATGGCACGTACGACAGCGGAAAAATATCAAACGACTGCGGTTCGAGTGTATTCAGTACCCACTATACTCGCCAGACCTCGCACCGGGTGACTTTTACCAATTTGGAGCCCTCAAAAGGGCTCTCGGCAGAAAGAAGTTTGATGCAGATGATGACCTGAAATCGGTGGTGCATTTCTATCTCCGTAATCAGCCACAAGATATTTTTGTTTTTTTCGTCGCATCTATGCATTGGATAAGCTTTGGCGCTCATATATCGAGCGAGGGCGACAATGTTCAAAAGTAATAATGTGCTTTTTACAATATCTATACTACCACACAAATAACAAACAAAAAATTGCCGTTACTTTTTTACTATTTTTGTACATTGTTAAATAGAAAATAGATTAGAGCTTTAAAAAGAAAAAAAATTAAAGTGGTTTACAACTCCCTGTAACACCAAATTAGAGCGCATTTCTTGAGGAGGAGGGAAGGGTACTGAGGGGAAGGTATACCCCTTTTTTCCCTCCTTCTCCTCCTCCTCCCTTCATTCTTCGATCCCCTCCGGGGGGGGGGGGGGGTCACGTGACGTGGGGGGTCGCGGGACCTGGGGGGTCACGTGACTCTGGGAGGGAGGGGTCACGTGACCCCACGGCTACGTCGACGGCGACGCCGATGCCGATGATGGCGCCAACGCCGCTCAAGCCGGAAACTGGCCCCTAAAAGCTGCGCTCTAAAAAAAAGGGGGGGGGGGGGGGGGGGGGTCCTGACGTCCATCGACGTTTCCACAGTTGCACTTTCTTCTTTAGGACGTCATGCCAAATGACGCAGTTGGTTGGTTTTATACAAGATCTAGGGGGAGGGTGTTAACGCGAAAGTTCAAAGGAGCTTGTTGTCGGGAAAGGGAAGCGCGGAGTATTCCAGGGCCGAGCTCACTTTGTCGCGACGAGGGAGGACGGTTGTAGGCTCTGTTTGGACGTGCATTCAGGCTGAGGAAAAACGGTGCAATGGGTCATTGGTGACGATCTAGTATGTTGGGGTCATGTGAAGCTATCTCC